AGGATCCGTACGCCTTCAGAACCCATAAGCAGCACCCGGCCCTTGTAAACTCCGGTTGCCGCCAAGATGGCCTCATGTTCTTGATTTTCATCAAGTTCGTCATCAGAATCAGCTAGCTCATCAACTCTCTTCCCCCGCTCTTCCTCATATTTTTTCTACAAGTTCAAAAATTTATTATATAAGAGATAAAAAAAAATCGAAATTTATTGAATTATTGAAGTTTCATTATTTACTTCAATTTCAGAAAGGCGGGGAGGCGGCATGGCACCCTTCTTCGTCCAGCAATGTGCCATGACTTTCAATGGCGTGACCCGTTTTTTCACGGGTCCAGATCCTTCCTACACGGATTTCAAAGTTAATAAAAAAATATATACATAAGGGTATGGAATGGAAATAATTTTAACTAATTAGAGTTTACCAGATCTTTTTTATGTTGAATTTGGGGTTTGCGGCCCCCGTGCCATTGAACTTCCTTGGCTTTCTCAGAGTTCCGGTTTGCCTTGGCCGTTTCGCTTCTCAGCAAAAATGCGGCATCCGTAGCCCAGTGGCGGCAAAGCATCTCCCACACATCATCGCCAAGGAATTTTGGCTTTTTACCCGTAGACCGGGCGGTCCTAAAAGTGGGTCTCAACCACCCAGAAATCCTAGAATTGTATTCTTTGAGAATAGTTTGGTCTAGGGCAAAATGCCACCGATGGGAAGCCTTCATTAAAAACATTGATATATCATTTCTTAAATTTAAGTTATTAAAATGTAACAAAAAAATTTATTTTTACCTTGAACAACCGCCACCATAGTTCACGAGTGGCCGCCGGAACCTCACCATAAGTCGACCAAGGCCCCGTGAAATGACCACAAACAATAGACTTGATTCTATTCAAGACCTCGGAATCACTTCAAAAAATTGATAATTGATAAAAACAATTGTATTAATTCTTAGATGTAGAGATTATACTATTTTATATTAGAGAGTGTTAGTTTTTTATTAGCTATGGATTGATTGAGGTGTCACCTCAAGCGAACCGGGATTGTGGCGCTCTTCTTGAGTGGGGGGGGGGGGGGGCATATATTGCACGAGATGAAGGAGGTGCATGAGATGATGCCCCCTCCCCATGCACGCTTATATGAGCGTCTGATTGTTCGGAGGGAGGAGTTTGGACATGTCCGTCATGAGCTTGTCCTTCGTCGAGATTGATATCATCATTGATATCACGATCAGCGTTTGAGGCCCGTCGTGAATTCTGGCGCCCACGACGACCAATGGTGGAAAGGCGGCGTTCGTGCTCACTCATCTAAAATTATTGAGAAATAATATATAGAACATATTAAACTTGTGTTTAATAGGAGAGGTCAAATGAGTTTTTAGTTTGATTTTTACGTTATGGAATTTAATTGTGTTAGATATTATTTTATCAAATCTTATCGAATCAGTTTTTTGTATGATTTTTATGTTATGGAGGTAACTTGTGTTGTGTATATTTTTTATCAAACCTTATAAAATCAATTAATCAAATTTTTTATATTAAACTAATAAAATCAGTTTTTCCATATTAAATTATAAATCATCGGAAATCAGTTTTTTGCATTAATTTAGAAAAATACAGTTTATTACACCTTGTATTTTGTATTAATTTATAAAAAACAGTTTTCTAAAATCAGTTTATGGAGTTTTTGTGTGGTATTATGGTTTAAACTTATTAGTTTCCTATTTATTTATCAAACTTTGAAATATAGAACATATTAAACTTGAGTTTAATATGAGGGGTAGAATGAGTTTTTTGTATGATTTTTATGTTATTGAATTTAATTGTGTTACGTATTTATCAATCTTTGAAATATAGAACATATTAAACTTGAGTTTAATATGAGGGGTAGGATGAGTTTTTTGTATGATTTTATGTTATTGAATTTAATTGTGTTAGGTATTAATTTATAAAAAACAGTTTTCTGATTTTGTAAATCAGAAAACTAATTTCTGAATTAAAACTGATTTTTGAATTAAAAAATCAAACTGATTTTTGATCACGGATAAAAAAATAAACTGATTTCTGTAAATCACAGATATTTTTTATCAAACTGATTTTTGATCACTGAATTAAAAAATTAAACCGATTTCTGTAAATCCACATATTTTTTATCAAACCGATTTTTGAAATAAAAAATCAGTTTTTGTTTATATAATACAAAAATGATTTCATATGTTTCATGAAATATTTGATTTTTGAAATCTATAAAATCAATTTTTTCATAAAATTTTTAAAATTCAGTTTCATTTTTTGTTTATTCAGGAAACCTATAAAATCAATTTTTCATGAAACATATGAAATCATTTTCGTATTATATAAACAAAAACAGTTTGTTTAGTTTTTTTATTTCTGTTTTAATATATAAAATACATTTTTTTACTTCATTTCTGTTTTTTACCTATGAAAAAGTTTATTATTAATTTCTGTATTATTTCAATTATTTCATATTTGCTTATCAAGCTTATCAACAATGTAAAAAAACAACGTTTTTTATGTTTTTTATGAAACAACGTTTTATTTAAAATAAAATATTATAATATCCGAAATTATTTAAAAATCAGTTAAATAATCTGAAATTTTTATAAGCGTTTTATAATATTAAAAAAAATTATAATATCCGAAATATTATAAAAAAATAATTAACAGTTTCATTATTTTGTTGGGTTAGACATGTTAACTTTTTTGAAAGTGTAACATGAGGGGGCGAAAATTAATGGAGTTGAAATTATTATTCTTAATAAATATCCGAAATTAACAAAAACTCAAAAATAACCTTGACTAAATATTTAATAATTAACTATTCTTAATAAATATCCGAAAAACTCAAAAACATATAAACATTCAATATCTAAGGCATATTTAAAGCATATAAACAAATGATATACACATATTATGAAACGATAAATCCAAAGCAGACATTTTAAATTAAGAGAATGCATATGAATATAGGAACAATAAAATTATGAGCATGCATATGAATATTCGGAAACGTATAAACATTAAAACAATATTAAGAAAAACATGCATTAAATAATTAAATTTACGAGCATGCATATGAATATTAAGAAAAACATATAAACATGCATGTATATTAAGAAAAACATGCATTAAATAATTAAAAACATGCAATAAAATTGCGAGCATGCATATGAATATTCGGAAACATATAAACATTAAAACAATATTAAGAAAAAAACGCATTAAATAATTAAATTTATGAGCATGCATATGAATATTAAGAAAAACATATAAACATGCATGTATATTAAGAAAAAAATGCATTAAATAATTAAAAACATGCAATAAAATTACGAGCATGCATATGAATATTCGGAAACATGTAAACATTAAACATATACACATATTCAATGCATGATAACTTATTAACATATAAACATTAAATTAAACAATTAAACAATATTAAGAAAAACATGCATTTTATTTTTGGCATTTTAAATCATTTATTCTAAAATATTCGGAAATTAAAGAGTTAGAAACATAACCTCAATGAAGGAGAAGAAGGCAAGAAATTAAAGGGAAAGAAGTGAAGGCCGGCTTCGAAGGACGACGGCAGGGGTGGAGATAATCCGCGGTGGCCGGAGAGATGTGTGCGGCGGCGGTCGGCGGGTGTAAGAGAGGCAGAAGGGCGGCGGTCGGCGGGTGTAATAGAGGCAGAACGGCGTTTGGGAGGGTGGCGGTCGGCGGGTGTAGGAGGCAGAAGTGTTTGGGAGTAGAGAGTAAGCAGTTAGGGTTTGCTGAAGTTGGGAAGCGTAAGGAAAATAATGGCTAAGTGTCGTTTATATATTAGGGGTTGTCACGGACCCATCCGTGACAACGCCCGTGACAAATTAATTACGGATTTTGAAATTTGAATTTGTCACGGATTAATCCGTGACAAAAGCATCGGAAATTGAAAACTGGGGAACGACAGTCGAGGCGGCAGGGAACGGCAGACGAGGTAGCAGAACGGCAGGTTGACCGGTTTGTCACGGATCCATCCGTGACAAATCCGTGACAAAATTCAAAAATTTGAATTTTGTCACGGATTTGTCATGGATGGATCCGTGACAAACCGGTGCAGGGAATATTAAAGCTTTTCAGCCTTTTTCAGACGAGGCGTCAGCTACTTTAATTGTCACGGACCTATCCGTGACAAATTTAAGTATAAATATGTGCTTAGAGTCCCATTTTTTCAGTGCGAAAAAATGGCTAATCCAGAACCAGATGTGTGGAAGTTGATCAGTAGAAGAGTACAACGATTAAAACAAGTTACACAGTTGATGAAGCCTCGAAATGCAGAAGCAGTTCAAAGCATCCGTGAGCTGATGAGTAGACCGCTTGAAAGCTTTGGCGATATTGTAGACTATGAATCAGACTCATACAACGTTTCACGAGGGAAAAACTTGCGTAGGGCACTTTTACGTGCAGAACAATGTTCGGAGTATATGATACCTATAAACGCGGAAGCTGCAGAAAGAATTAACGAGCTACTGGATAGGCCTCTAAATGAAAGTTTTGACGCTAATGAATAATATTGTGTTTATTTGTTTATCTGTATTGTGAGTTGTTGAATGTAATAAATGATAAAAAATTGTGTGTTTTCTACTTAGTTTTTAAATTTAATAAATAAATTTATGTTCTTGTTTATTAATATTCGAATTATTAAAATTTTGTAATGTTAAAAAACTAATAACAAATAATGTTAAAAAACTAATTTCCGAATTTTAAATAATGTTAAATTTCGAATTATTTAAAATTTAAATAATTTTCAATTTTCGAAATTACCTAATTAATTTTAAATTTCCGAATTGATAATAATGAACCACTAATTTTCGATTGAATAATTTTAAAAACTTAATTTTATTAATTAATTAATCGCTATTTCACAATATAATATGGAATAATTATTTTGTTTAGAAATTATAGTTGCGAATTACATACCTAACTATCTTGGAATAATATAATAATGACGAAAGAAAATTAAAAATTCAAATTAAAATAGTTCAATTAAAAGTAATTACATTGGTTGTTAACTATACATTTAATCGCTATCAGAATCAGTATTTTCTTGATAGCCAACTTCTTCTTCTGTATCTTCATCATCATATATCCATTCTTCTTCTTCCTCCTGGTCATCGTGCAGTTGTTATATATATAATTCTTCAATTTCGCGCTCATTTTGAGGTAAGGGGGCGGAAGGTGTGTTTCAGGCATAACTTCAACATCTCCGCCATTTGGGTCACTTAACTGAATGTTATGGTTGACCGTGTCAGCAAGAGGCGGAGGTTGAAAAAAATCTTGCTGAAAAGCATCAAAGTCAATATCCTTGTGTTGAGCCTGTGTTACAATTTTGCTCGGACGGATATTAATGGCACACACCCAAGGATTCCGTGTGCGCCTCGTTGAAGGATACTCTGCATAATAAACCTGGGCTGCTTGTTGAGCGAGTATAAATGACTCATTTTTCTGATACACACGAGAGTGGTTGACGTCAATTATATTATACTTTGAATTTTTTCTCACACCACGTGTAGGGTCGACCCATGTGCAGCGAAACAACACGCATGTTAATTCTTGCAAACCAGAAGGCATTTGAAGTTCGAGAATCTCATGCAAGAAACCAAAAAAATTGGTTTCCGAGTTATGAGAACCGATGGTCGGGACACATAACTCGCTGTTCATTGTTGGTCGACCTTCTCCATATTCGACTGTGTGATACGTATAACCGTTTATCACATATGAATGCCAAACCTTTGCATAGGAAGAAGGACCCCACGATAATGATACTAACAGAGGGTCGTTAATCCCACGGTACCTGATCTGCAAATTAAAACATGATAACATTAGGTAATGATTAAAAATTACTAGTTAATAGTATATATAATGTATTTATATATATATAATACCTGCTGTTGGTACCATAATGCAAAGTCAGAGTCCACCATTGCATCAATTGCATCATCAAGAAATGCTGATAAAGATGCTCTAAATTCACTGTGAATTGAAACATAAAGATATTATTATAACACTCTAATTATTAAAAAAATATTAGCTATATTACAAATGTAACTACCAATTCAACTTACTTATAAAATGGTAAGATTTCTGGACAATTCATGAGGATGTAAGTATGTGCAATTTTCATTTCTCCGCCCACGATGTAACGGTAAGTCGCAGCTCCTTTACCTCTACCTGGGTAGTTGAAAATAGAAACTACTTTATCATATGAATCCTCGCCAATGTCATCGTTCCGAGCAGGTTTCTTTCTTTTACTGATGACTTCACGCTCAAAATAAAAAGATGAAACGTTGAGGTTTCTTGTTGAATATATGCTTGACAAATTGAAGCCTCAATGTGTGCCTAGCTTGTTGGTCGCTTTCTTTTTCAAATCTCCCAGAAATCTGTCATGCAAAATAAAATTTGTAAACAAACAAATGTTCTTATTAAACAAATCATCGTTTATAAATGAAATTATGACTAACCTTTCAAATCTGTACATCCAACGATAGAAGACGGGCCCTCCATTCAAAGCTTCATACGGAAGATGTATTAGAAGATGTTCCATTAGATCAAAAAATGATGGGGGAAGTATCTTTTCCAGATTACACATCAGAATAGGAACAGTGTCGTCTAGTCTCCTCAGGGATTCGGCATCCAAAACGGCGGAACATATCGACTGAAACAATTGACTGATTTCGAAAGAAAACAGTTTACTTAAAATTTCTTAACAGAGAGATAAATATACATTTAGTTCATTGATTGTACAATCAAAATCAAAGCAACATAGATTTTATGCACATCTCTCCAAAAGTTTATTTAATTTTTTTTGTGGCAGCAATTCTAATTGTCGAGATGCTTCAAAAAGAAAACAAGTTTACTTCATTAATTAGAAACTGGTAGCAATCCCACCATTCTTCCAACAAGTTCACTTCAATGGAGCATTTAGGACGCCTTTTTAGGTAGTTATACTTCGACCCACTTTTGATAAACATCAACAACTTACGGAATATTTGCGACACATAAAAAGCGAGAAATATTATGTAACTAAACATCACAATTGGCTTTCTTGTTCATATTGACTTTTTAAGGAATTGTAAGTATTAAAAAGTAGGGATATAATTTAAAATGGTGAACATTTCGATCTTCTGTATTATATATCAAAATAATAGGAACCGTTGACAGAAACATATAATCAAAACAATTTAAGATTTATCATAACTTATAGAAATAATCAACCAAAGTAGCAAGATTTCAAGATTGACATACCTGATACCTCTGAAATTGAACCTAGATCGAGTTATTACAGAATTATTATTATCAATATTCATTAAAAAGAAATACTCAATGTAAACTAGCCAAGCACTTAAAACACAAAACCTCAATGTAATGCTGCAAATATTTTGAGTATGTAATGTTTATCTTTTCTTTAATGCAATCCAATTCTGAAAATTATTGTTCTTTCATACAAAAGTGTTGCAAGGAATGCAATAGCATCTTCATCCAAATCATTAAAAGAGAAAGAAGGAAAATACCCAACTTTCTAGTTTAGACATTTCTTCAAACACCTCTTGTGCAGAACTAACATATGGTTGTTCTTAGCCTTTTTGAAACTTGATTTACCCATAGGAGATGTATAAAGCAATCTCCTAAAACGCAGAGAGCAAAACCAAGACTGGACTGATGATGATAAACAAAGAACGATGTTTATATAAAACCTTTGAATTTCTGAAATCAACTTTAACCAACCAAACCACAAATGAATAAAGAGAAAAAAATCAGTAAGAGACAGCCCCAAACATTACAGAAACCTAAGAAAGCACCACGAAATTAAGGAATGAAAACAAAAAATTAAATCTAAGGATAACCCATAATTCGAACTACAAATATGGTGGACGTATTTTGAGAAGTAAATCCGCAAATAAAGCATAAGAAGATGGAGACCTAGAAGATGTGATTCATATGTCACCTGGTTTGATAATGAAAAGGTGGAAGAAGAAGCTGAATCGTGAGCCGGCTAAGAGTCGCGGTGAAGATTAGCGGCGAAGAGTATAAGGGGCAGACACTTCTAAGGCTTTTGGCTTTTGCTTTGGTAGGTTTTTTATTTTTATTTCTAATGATAAGGATTTCATTTTGGTTTTGGGGATTAATAAAAAATGGCGGAAACGAACATTTTGGAAAGATTGGTTTGCCGCTATTTTTACTTTCAATTTATTTGGATATATGAAAGTGTTACATTATACTCGTATTTCATTAAATGTAACACTTACTAAACTAATGTAACAATATTTCTGAAGTTATAGATGTGTTACATTAGTATCAGATAAAATGTAACTATAACTAAACAAATGTAACGATACACTTAAAACCATTACAGTAAATCATTTTTTTGTAACACTTTAAACAAATGTTACAATTTTTTCGTTACATTAGACTCGAAAATGTAGTAGTAGGATTACGACCATGACAAAGTTGTCACGGGCTTTGTCACGGAATATTGGGATTTGTCACGAAAATGTTTTGTCACGGATAGGTCCGTGACAAAATCCGTGACAAAATATTGTCACGGATTTGGTCCGTGACAAATTTACTCCGGCGACCGGTTTTTTACTCCGGTGAATACTTTTTTGCTTCCGGGCATTTGTCACGGACCGTTCCGTGACAAATCCGTGACAAATTTCAAAAAAACTTTGTCACGGATCCATCCGTGACAAAATACGTGACAAACCTCAATTATTGATTTTCCAGCGGTAACCTTTAATAATACGGTACGGAAAAAGAGTTGTCACGGATAAATCCGTGACAAATCCGTGACAAACTTTTTTATATAACCCAACCCCATCGTCCATTACAACTGCAAGAACAACAATTATCAGTTCAAAAATTCGTAGATTCGAGTGATGTAGTATCGGTTTAAAGATTATTAGCTTAATTATTAGGTTATTAATTATCACCAATTATTATTTATTAGCAATTATTGTTAATGGGATGCAACGAACAAAACGGCGTAGTTTTGTTTAATGAAAACAAAAAGCCTCCATCTTCCTCAATCCCTGCAACGAACGGCTCATCTTCCTCACCCCCTTGCTCGCCGGAAAAGTTCAACGGAAATCTCCGACGGCCCCATACCCCTATATATATATATATATATATATATATATATATATATATATATATATATATATATATATATATATATATATATATATATACCCTAACTCGGCGGCTGAAGGAGGGGCACCGGCCCCCTGCCCCCTCGGCAGTTCTGCCCCTGGTGACACTTTATGATAAAATGACATTACTAACATACAAGTGTCACTATTTTCAAACAAAATATATTAGTATTGCTTAGTGACACTACATTCTTTTACGGAGTAAACGCTCCTCCCTGCAACTTTCAATTCCCTCCACAATTTTTTTATTTTGCCTCAATCTAAGTTTAGCAACCCTAACACTTTCAAGCCCACATTTCACACTTGGCCCGTAATTTCGTTCCTGACACATTCATGCCCTAAGCTACTAGCTACCCAACCTTTTATTCCTTGGAAATTTCAGCCTTCTTAATTACGTTTGAAGAACCCTAACATCGGAGCCGAGGGGCGTGCAATTGTCGATCGAGCGCATCTATCATTGATCCTCTGCGAAGAACGACACAGCCGCCCGTCAATCGTCTACCAAGCACATCAGTGGCTGCTAATTGACTTCGAAGAAAGCTACCGCCGGACGACATCGCCACTTGCTGGATGCTACTTAGGACCTCAGGTCCTTGTGACTTCGTCCTACTCCAATGATTGATGAGCTGAATTGGTGAGCTCTCTCCTTCTCCTTTGCATTTCCCGTCGATGAACGGAGACTCTAGCTCGATACCTCTATCTTTTTGTACCTGCATCAACCCCCAAAATTGAAAATATCAATTATTGATTAATAGAATTCACACACACATTGGGGAAAATGCATTATTAGTTTTATTGTTAATGAGATAAATTCTTTTGATCTGTCATAGTAAACAATAGATAAATCGGGTTATATTTTGATGGTCAGGTGTTCACTGGGAGCTAGACGTTAGCCTCTTGGCCGCTTCGTTTTCATTTATTTTTTTATCTTCGGTTGTGCCATTGAATTTGGCTCTCTACTCTCCTATCATCTTCTTCTGGGTTATGCTTGGGTCATAAACTCGAGGTTATGAATCATATGCTCTGATTTCTAGCTTGTTTTCAATATATTTATTATATTTTTTCTATATTTGCAGTTTTTGTCCAATCTTTAGTTCTTGTGTGTGGCTGGAATCTCCACAGTGGGAAAAGAAATGTTGTGTTGGTAAGCAAAATATGATGTACCTTATTTCTTGTTGCTTGAAATTAAAGTTTTACATTGTGTTTTAATGCATCAGTAGCGAGAGTTGTTTTATAAGACAAGATAGATATTGGTCTAAGCAAATGAAAGCAACATCCCACCAAAACCTAAGCCCTCTGGTAACTTTCTTACTTTTTTGAAAGCATTACTTCGCTACTGCAATTTCAAGGCTATGAAACAACTTTACTTATAGGAAGATTTATTTGGGACTGCCTGACTGGCTGCTATATCTTGCAATAATTCAAGCCTATGTTTTTAACACATTTTTTATTCTAAGTTGTGATTTCTTCTTTTAAGTTACTTTTCTGTAGCTAATATGGTTTTTAGAACTATGACACTGCAAAAAAAACTCGCCCTTTGTCACGGATTACGGCCGTGACAAAGTTGTCACGGGCTTTGTCACGGAATATTGGGATTTGTCACGAAAATGTTTTGTCACGGATAGGTCCGTGACAAAATCCGTGACAAAATATTGTCACGGATTTGGTCCGTGACAAATTTACTCCGGCGACCGGTTTTTTACTCCAGTGAATACTTTTTTTGCTTCCGGGCATTTGTCACGGACCGTTCCGTGACAAATCCGTGACAAATTTCAAAAAAACTTTGTCACGGATCCATCCGTGACAAAATCCGTGACAAACCTCAATTATTGATTTTCCAGCGGTAACCTTTAATAATACGGTACGGAAAAAGAGTTGTCACGGATAAATCCGTGACAAATCCGTGACAAACTTTTTCATATAACCCAACCCCATCGTCCATTACAATTGCAATAACAACAATTATCAGTTCAAAAAATCGTAGATTCGAGTGATGTAGTATCGGTTTAAAGATTGAATGATGTAATCCGTCAGTTCATCATTTTCCCAGTTTATGCAGATAAGGTATGTCATTTTAACTAATTTCTTTTAATTGTGTAATAAATTAATTATTAGCTTAATAATTAATTAGTGAGGTTAGGATTCTTTTTTATTTCTTTATATAATAATAATTAATTATTAGCTTAATAATTAATTAGTGATGTTAATTAGTTGTTCATTTATTTAAACTATTAACGTAATTTTGTGAGGTCATGTTAATTTTCATATTATTAACAATATATTATTAAACTATTAACGTAATTTAATTAGTTAAATTTAAATATAAATATTAATTAGTTAATGTGATGCATGGCATAATATAGCTAGGATTAGGCCGGTTTGTTTAATTAATTAGTTTAATAATGAGTTTATATCACCAATGATTAGGCCGGTTTGTTTATATTAATTAGCAATTATTGTTATTATTAATGCATAATTTAGGATGTGTAGTGATGATTTAAGTATTAGCTAGCTTATTATAGATTAATTAATTAGTGACTTGTAGTGATTTAATTAAGTTAGCTAGCTTAATTATTAGGTTATTAATTATCACCAATTATTATTTATTAGCAATTATTGTTAATGGGATGCATAATATAGTTTAGTGTGAATTATTATTGTGAATTATTAATGAGATAATATTTAACAATAATATTAGTTAAATGTAAATTAATTAACTAATTAATTAAGTTAAAACATTGAGGAAATGGGTTTAGAATTTGATGAGTTGATAATATTAGTTAGATTTAAATATTAGTTAATTGATCAATGATGATGATTAGGTTTAATTTGTTTATTAATTAGTTAATTATTGTTAATGCATAATTTAGGATATGTAGTGATTTAAGTTAGGATTCAAACTTTATTAGTTAAGTGTGAATTATATATTATTGTAAATTAATGATATTTAACAATATTAATTAAATGGAAATTAACTAATTAATAAGTTAAATTAGTTAATTATTGTTAATGGGATGCATAATATATATAGCTAGGATTGAAACTTTATTATTATTTAGTTTAGTGTGAATTATTATTGTGAATTATTAATGAGATAATATTTAACAATAATATTAGTTAAATGTAAATTAATTAACTAATTAATTAAGTTAAAACATTGAGGAAATGGGTTTAGAATTTGAGTTGATAATATTAGTTAGATTTAAATATTAGTTAATTGATCAATGATGATGATTAGGTTTAATTTGTTTATTAGTTAATTATTGTTAATGCATAATTTAGGATTTGTAGTGATTTAAGTTAGGATTCAAACTTTATTAGTTAAGTGTGAATTATATATTATTGTGAATTAAGGATATTTAACAATATTAGTTAAATGGAAATTAACTAATTAATAAGTTAAATTAGTTAATTATTGTTAATGGGATGCATAGTATATATAGCTAGGATTGAAACTTTAATATTATTTAGTTTAGTGTGAATTAATATTGTGAATTATTAATGAGATAATATTTAACAATAATATTAGTTAAATGTAAATTAATTAACTAATTAATTAAGTTAAAACATTGAGGAAATGGGTTTAGAATTTGAGTTGATAATATTAGTTAGATTTAAATATTAGTTAATTGATCAATGATGATGATTAGGTTTAATTTGTTTATTAGTTAATTATTGTTAATGCATAATTTAGGATTTGTAGTGATTTAAGTTAGGATTCAAACTTTATTAGTTAAGTGTGAATTATATATTATTGTGAATTAATGATATTTAACAATATTAGTTAAATGGAAATTAACTAATTAATAAGTTAAATTAGTTAATTATTGTTAATGGGATGCATAGTATATATAGCTAGGATTGAAACTTTATTATTATTTAGTTTAGTGTGAATTATTATTGTGAATT